CAAAATGAGCCTGTGAGAAGTTACCAATATTTATTGCCAAAAACGTTTTTATGCAAAAGAATTTTGGGAAATGTGTATGCACTATAAAACAGAATTTCCGGAGCCTACTGGCATCATTCCAATACATGCTATATGATAACATGTCCTTTTTTTTTTTTCTTTTTCTCTTTTCTTTTTGCCAGTCCTGGGCTTGAAATCAGGGCCTGGGCACTGTTCCTGAGCTTCCTTTTTTTAAATCAAGGCTAGCACTCTACCACTTGAACCACAGCACCACTTCCGGCTTTTCCTGTGAATGTGGTACTAAGGAATCGAACTCAGGGCTTCATGCATGCTTGAAAGCACTCTACCACTAAGACACATTCACAGCCAGTTTTTTGTTTTTTAAATATTGTAAAATGTTAGCACTGGGAAGATGTGCTAGATCACCTATCACTACTCTGCAGTGGTAGATAATGTAGCTCAATATTACACCAACACATGAGATGATACATAATGTTACTGCTGTGGATGGGTACAAATACAAGATGGACCAGTGGGTCTTAGTCTCTAAGAGCGTGGAATTTCATGTTATAGTTTCAGATTCTCTATAGTAACCAGCCTTTAAGGTCCTTAATAGCTGGTTATGGTGGCACACAGTTAGAACCTGAGGTACTTGGGAGGCAGAAGCAGAAGTATCAAGAATTGGAGACTAGCCAGAGCAATGTTAGACCTAGCTCCAAAACAAAACACAAAACCCATGGCTGACAAGGTACAACACTTGCCTTGTATGAGAAGCCTGGGTTCAATAAACAGTATTGCAAAAGAATATTAAACCATGAAGAAACAAGTAATGTTAAACCATTAAGAAGCAATTATTGGGGCTGGGAAGATGGCTCAGTGGTAGAGTGCTGGACTAGCATGCATGAGGCCCTGGGTTCAATTCCTCAATACCACATAAGCAGAAAAAGCTGGAAGTGGCACTGTGGCTCAAGTGGTAGAACTCTAGCTTTGAGCTGAAAAGCTGAGGGACAGCGCCCAGGCCCAGAGTTCAAGCCCCACGACCAACAGAAAAAAAAAAAAAGAAAAAAAAAAGAGCAATTATTGCTAGGAGCCAGTTGTGGTGGCTCACATCTATATTCTACTTAGGAAGCTGAGATCTGGAGGACAGCAATTTAATGCCAGCCAGGCAGAAAGGTTTGCAAGACTCTGTCTTCAAAACAAAAACAGCAAAAAGCCAGGCTGGAGGCATGTTTCAAGTGGAAAGGGGCTAGCCAATCAAGAAAGCTGAGAGAGTGGGAGGCCCTAAATTCAAATCTTGCTACTAAAACAAAAAGCAATTATTTGTAAGTGTAATATAAGGGTGAATTTAATCAAAGTACATGTTTAAATATCATTAAACCCCTTTGTCAAATTAACATATGGTAATAAAGAAAAGCAATCATTTTCAATGGTTATTAAAAAATTCCTGTTTCCATTTAATCACACATGGGAAGTGGATTTTCTTCATCTGCTTTAACCAAAATAGAGAATTAGAATCAACTAAACATGGAAGCAGATACGAGAGTCCACTTGTCCTTTATTCAGCTAGACATACAGAGAGCTGCAAAACTGCACAATTCCATTATCCTAAATCTTTTGTATGGAATAATTTAGAGAGACATACAATTTATATGTAATTATAATTGTTATCCTAAAGTGAGTTACTGTGTACATTTTTGTATCTTAGCTTTAATGTATGTCACAATGAATTTTGCTGGATATAGCATACAAATGAAAGGTTTTGGGTGAGCAGTTCTCCTAAGACAAAAAATACAAAGAAGCACCATCTTAGACCCTTCTTATGCTTTCATTCAGGGCTTGACATCAGAGAAGCTGACGCAGAGGTGCAGAAACAGGAATTTCCAATCCAAGTTGGTTGAACTATGGCCTCGGGTTGTTTTTTAACATGTTTTATGTATTATTTTTTTAAATTAAACTTAAGTAGTTGTACAAAGGAGTTTCAGCTCAACATGTTGAGTTCCTGAGCACAATGTATCTCAATCAATGACACCCTATTGTTTTCCTCTATATCCTCCACATCCACCTGTCCTCTCAATTTCCCTGCTTCCATTTTCACATATGTACATTGAAAACTTTCCATTTGTCTGCCTTCTCCCCCTTCCCCCGCTTGACCTCTTCCCATCCCTGACATTTCAGCTTCCCTGGTATTCAAGTGTAATTTGTTCAAAAGTTAGCCCATTTTATTCCTCTCCTGTGTATACCATACTTCAGCCATTAGGTTTGTAAATATATATATAAATATATTTAATATATATTATATATAACATAATATATATGCACATGACTGTTTTCATGTTTATAGAAAACATGAGCCCTTTGTCTGAGACTGACTTATTTCACTTAATTATTTCCAGGTCCATCCATCTCCCTGTAAATGATATCATTCTTTTTGATGAATGAATAAAATTCCCTCTCTCTCTCTATCACATTTTTTTCATTCATTGGTTGTAGGGCATCTGGGCTATTTCTGTAACTTGGCTATAGTGAAAATAGAGCAATGAACATGGTTGTGTGTCTGACTGTATCCAGACTTGTAATCTTTTGGAAAAATGTCCAAGAGTGGTACTGGATCATAGGGTAGTTTTTTGAATCTCCAAATTGCATTCGATAGTGTTGCACTCATTTTACATCCTCATTAACAGTTATCTCCATCAGCACTGTTGTTATTCTTGATGATTAAGCTTACTGGAGTGAGATGGAATCTCAGTGTTGTTTTGATTTGCATTTCCTTTAAGGTCAGAGAGCTTGAGCATTTCTTCAAGTGTCTGTTGCATTGTGGCCTCAGTCTTGATTGCTGTCTGAGGCTTTTGGACATGCTATCTCTGCTTGGCATTATCTTTAGTGGACAAAACAAACCCCCAACAAATATAATAGTTTTGCAATGGATGGGGAGAATTGAGAATATTTATAAAGTGAAAAGACATAAGCCAACAGTGGGTCCATGCCTCAGACATCCCTTTTGCTGCTCCAAACCGACTTTCATTGAAAATGAGCAGCATATGGTAGAAAAGCAATGTACTGGAGATGTGTGTATTTAACTTCTGAAAGCATTTCTGCAAATCCTGCAGTGCCCACTGTTGGTGGCATCCTTCTCAAGGGCATCAGAGCTATGTGATAATGCACGGTGACATGGGAACCACCTTTGGCTTTCTCTTATCATTCACTAAAAAAAAGGAAAGGGCTGAACATTCTTTTCTGCCACCATAGTAGACTGGTGTTGAGGTGCAATTGGCAGTAAGTGTAATCACCTCAAATGTGACAGTCTACTGTCCCTACTTAAGGTGAATTTAGTTATCTATACACTGTCCTTTCTTTGGAAGGCTTTTACAAAACCAAATAAGCTAATAACACCAAAGTAGGTTCGAAAGTTCTAACATTCTCTAAGGCTGAACTGGAAAGATTTTAGTGGCCAGTTAATAGCTACCAGACTTCCTATCATCTAAAAGAGTGATAGAAACTAGGTCACACACACACACACACACACACACACACACACACATTTTGCAATATGATGGACAGGGAATATCACTCAGGAAGAAGGAACCCCAATCTTTTTTGACAGATCCAGTCAACTCTTGAGAATCATTCCTACCAGAAACTACTGGCCTCTCCCATATACTCACCAACCCTGGTAATCCAGCACAGTTCGAAGTTTTGAATACAAGGAGCAGGACTGTTAAGGACAGATCAAATGAATTGGAGCTTGCCTAGAACAAGGACCAACATGTCTGCAATCTTAAGCAAAGATGAAAGAAGCATTTGTAACTAGGAAAATGCTATGCAAAGTTTAAACAATTAATAGACCTTACTTTTGTTTTTCTTTTTTGAAGAACTGACTTTAAAACAGCTTCATTTTTTTTGTGGTAAATAGCAGGTATTTATTTGAAATGAAAAAAATACTTCAGTACCTGGACTACTGCATTTAATCATGTATTGTAATTGTGTTACTCTACCTTTCTGCATCAGAGACAGATATACAATGAACATTCAGAGATCACAGGTTGCACACTAGATAGGAACTCTTCAGGCCTTTTACATAACCACCAAAAAACAGATATTGGATTCGCAATATAGTACAAAAGTCCACAATCAATCCAGTCTTAGCCAGTATCTTCAATTTACTTCCATTGCTGTACAAATAATTGGCCATTACTAGGGCTTACAAGTTAATAACAGGACAAAAATATACATTGCACTGACACAAAAAGTCAGCTGTGTTAATAAGTCATGCAACAAGTAACCAAACTTGCTGAAATTAAAAATACTTTCTAAAAACAGTTTTAACAGCATAAATATTTTATACACAGTTCATTTACCAAAACAAAATGTATTTAAATGATACAAAGCAAAAATAAGTTTCTACCAACTTTATACATAAGAAAGTGCAAAATAACTTATCTGGAGTGTTTTGCTATTATCCAGATGGATGGCTGCTACGGGCAGCTATTCTTCTTTTCAAAAGCATAACATTAGTTACACTTGCACACTACGCACAAATGCTGAGTCCATGGATGAAGACATGGAAGGATGGATGGGTGGAAGGATGGACAGATGGATGACAAAGATTGGGCAGGAGCCCTGTGATGAACACTCAAAGAATACGGACTACACAAAGGTGGATGCACGTGTTAATATAAGTTGGTAAACAAATCTACATAGAATACAGAAACAATGAACTGATGTGAGTGTACTTCTGTGTGAGTGATTCTGTTATTTCTGCATTAGACACAAAAGGAAAGGAAACCTGATTGAACAAAACAGTTGCCCACAGCACCAGCTGCCAGAGGAAATCCTAGCATAAGGGTTTTGGTATCCACCTAGTTATGCAAGTTGTATTGGAAATTTGAAAAGTGTTCATCCCATGAAACTGCAGATTACATACAGGAATAACCTTTGAATGACTCCACACACACACACACACACACACACACACACACACACACACACACACACACACACACACACACACACACACACACACACACACACACACACTCCTATTTTCAAGTCTTTAAAGAATACCTCTGCCATTGGGTATGGGGTAAACATGGTTCCTGGATAAAAAGAGGATGTTGCTTTTCAAAAATGTTAGAATAACAGTGCTGCAAGCATATGAAGGGCAGATGGGGCGAGCGCCTACTAGGTGAGCGCGTGGGTCCTACAACTGGTGGATGTCAGCATCGTTTTTAGAAGTGAAGTAAGACGGTGAGGAGGAGAGGGTAAGGAGCGAGATACAGAAAGGAAAACAGAACACAACTTTGCTTTTTCAAGTGGAAGTATTAATGCCAAGAATCCTTTTATTCACAAGTATATTTCAACTTTTAGAAATGGAAGTGTTGGAATCAATTTTGATATGTAATCATAACAGACTGTAGGCTCAAACCTTGGTAAATAAAGATTGAAATTTAGTAAGCATAAGGCACTAGAGCAGCCTTTAGATTTTCTCTTGGAGACCTAGTTATCAGGAAGAACATTCTGTTCTTACCCTGATTTCAGCCCAGAAGGTATAAGATCACTATTATACCAAATGCCTGCATGTATGCGCATTTCAGTGCATTACTGTGCCTGTCACAGGGCCTAAAGATGAAGAGTTGGGAGAGCCAAAGCCACTGTCCTGTGCATGATACCTCTATCTCCACAATGGTGTGAAGGCCTGTCCTTCCTTTCCTGGGCCATTAATCATCCTATGTTGTTCAAATCACAGGGCTTTTAGAATTGTTCATACTATTATCACCAAGTATCTGAAAATGTTAAAATCTAGATTAATTGTTTTGATTTCATATATATATATATTTATATTTATGTACATAACACACATTTTTTAAAAAAATCCCACCACCAAAGCTTTTTTTTTTTTTAAACTATAAACTAAACTTCTCTCTTAGCCCCCACCAGCTTTAACCCCCCCCTACTGGATTTGTATGTCTGTATCCAACTAGAACAAATTAAATAACTAAATATTAAAATACTGTAATTATATTCATAGCAAAAACAAAAAAATAGACATCAATACAGTATAAATCTCAGTGTTTTCAGGTAGATGACATTAAACGGTAAAGGTTAATTTTAAGCAGTTCTGACATGATCCAGTTTTACAACAAGGTTTAAATGTGACTTCTGTACACTTTTTTTTTAATCCTTTTTTGAAAATATGCTATAGTAGAACTTTCGTGTCACCAAAGACACATACTTATTATATTCTATGCAAGAGAAGCTAATTTGGGGTTACATGCAAATATATTCCCATTATTTGAGGCAGGGCTGTGCCCGGAACTACATAGGTCACTGGCCCCCTTACACAATGCTAAGAAGGCATTCTGACCACAGCAGTCTGCAGATGAGTTTAAATGGGGCCGTTATGTTCAGAACAACACTGACGTGGCATGCAGCCAGGCACAAGACTCCCAGAATTTCTGGGCTATCTTATGGCTGGGCCTTTTTTTCTGCCACATTGGTTCCTAAAGAAGGTCCACGTTATTTTGGTTACTAGCCTAGTTTAAGTGGAGATGCTGTGGGCAACTTGGAAAGAAATGGTATCAGGCACACAGGCAAGATTTGAAAAGAAAAAAAGAAAAAGAAGACCACAGGTAATGTCTCTGAGGATTTAAAAAACATATTTATAATTAATTAATTGGTAAGTGAGAGATGTTAGACAAACCATAAGTAGCTCATTGAGTTAGTGGTTTAGTTTGAAGTCTCATGTGACAGGCAGTCAGGTCCTTATTTAGAAAAAAAGGCCTTTATATCTATTTACAATATACAGTCACTTGCAAAGAAGTTGGATATACAACCATTTTCTAAAAGCCTTTTTGTTGTTGTTGGTTTTCCCAAATAAGGCTGAGTAGCTCTATAAAAATGAGATGCAGGAAAAGACAGTTAAGGAGTGAGGATTTCTTTCTCTGAGAAGCTACTGTTACCAGGGAGAATCGGATATTGAAGGTCTGCAAACGGGCGTGGCCTCTTCTCAGCTGTTGGCTGCTGCACTCCACCCCCTGGGAGGCAATGATCCCTTTGGACTCCGCATGTCACACACACACACAGTATGAGGAGATGTAAACGGAGACTGCTTCAATGCCTTCCGAGCTGTGACAGGAATGGGAGAAGGTCTACAGATCATGGTGTCTGGTCAGCTTGTTCAGCCTTCAACAATTCCGTGGACCATCTTCCGAACTCCTCTCGTGCTGTAAGTTGTAGTAACAGTTCTGACAAACACGCACTGGGGATGAGATCTTCAGGCGTTTGATTTCTGACTGAAATCGACTACACCTAGAGGAAAGGAAAACAATCAATTACTTATTGGTCCTCTCCATGAGTGATCACAAGGGACCACAAACGATAATTCAAAAGTCAAGGGGAAAGCCTTTAGTTCCATGCCAAAAAGAACGCCAAAGGCCTTTCAGTTTGATCACAAGCACCAAAAGGAATGGTGCACAATTTATTTCATCCCATGAAGCAAAGCCGGCCTTTAAAGCTGTTAACAGGCAGCTGTTACTAATGGATGCAAAGGAACAGCTGGCTATGAGACCACCTTGCCCAGGTTCTCAGTGTGTACATTACCCAGGCACAACATCTTGGAGCTTAACATTTTTATTTTTCCCTTGGAAATAACAGGACTGAGCATTTTATTTCATAGTCCACTTGATTTATTTAGACTTTGGAGCTGGGAATTTGTCACTGCCCATTTTCTTTCTAGTTTATTTTTTGTGAGCACATACAAATGGTGGGTTTTAATGGGATTCACAGAGCTGTTTCTATCCTTGGCTATGGTGTGTGCAATCCTATCCATCCACCTTCTACCCTCCCCCACAGCCAACACCTTTTTAGTCCCTAAGAATCACTATTCCACTTTCACCTCTGTTTTTTTTTCTCAGTTTTCTACATTGACAGAGAGCATGGGGTCTCTGTCCTTGTCAGGCTTGTTTCATCAAACATGATGTTTTCCAGTTCCATCCGTTTTCCAGATAACAGGACCTCATTCATGATGGTGGGAAAACTATTCCATTGAATACACATGCTGTATTTTCTTTATCTACTCATCCACTGATGCACATATTCTTTTTTTTTCTTTTGTCAGTTCTGGGACTTGAACTCAGGGCCTGGGCACTTTCCCTGAGCTTCTTTTGCTGAAGGTTAGCCACAGTGCCACTTCCAGCCTTTTCTGTTTATGTGGTACTGAGGAATCAAACCCAGGGCTTCATGCATGCTAGGCAAGCACTTTTACCCACTAAGCTACATTCCCAGCCCCACATACGTTGATTCTATGTCTTGACTATTGTGAGTTGTGTTGCAGTAGACCGGTGGGCAGGCAACTCTTTTGTGTGCTGGCCTCGATTCCTTTTCCACTCATGAGTGGGACGGCAGGGTGCTAAGGTAGTTCTAGTTTCAGGTTTTTGAGAAACTTTATTCTCCATAGTGGTGGTACTAATTACATCCCCACCAACTGTGTATGCATTTTTTTTCTCACATTCTCATCAGTACTTGATATTATGCTTTTGATAATAGTCACTCTGGTTTGCATTTCCCTGATGTTAAGAATAGGGAGCATTATTTCATATACTTGTTGGCTATTTGTGAAATATCTATTTAGATCACTTGCTCATTTTAAAATTGGATTACCTGGGACTTTTTTTGTAAGTTTTTTCAATTCCTTATACATTCTGTATATTAAACCTGTCTGATGAATAGTTGGGAAATATTGTTTCTCATTCTCTGGATTGTCTTTTCATTGTGTGGACAGTAGGTTGATGTGGTCCCATTAATGAACTCTTGCCTTTTTTCCTGTGTTTTTGTAGTCCTATCCAGAAAACTGCCCACACTTATATTCTGAAGTGTTTCCTCTATAGTTCTTCATATAATTTAAACTTGATGCCTTACATTAAGGTACCTGATCCATTTTGAGTTGATTTCTGCAGAAGAAGATGAAGGGTTTATTTTTAATTTTTTTTTCTTTGTCAGTCATGGGGCTTGAACTCTGGGCCTGGGAGCTGTTCCTGAGCTCTTTAGCTCAAGGTGAGTGCTCTACTACTTGAGCCACCACGCCACTTCTGGTTTTCTGGGGGTTAATTGGAGATAAGAATCTTATAGGCTTTCCTGCCTGGCTTGGCTCTGATCTGCGATCCTCAGATCTCAGTCTCCCAAATAGCTAGGACTATAGGAGTGAGCCACTGGCGCCCCAGCTAATTTTTGAATGTGGATACTAGTTTCCTCAGCACCACTGTTGAGGAAGCTGAGAAATCTTCAATGCTGACAATCAGTTGGCTGTTGATGTGGTATAGGTTTACATTTACATTCACTATTCTGTTCCACTGGTCTACGTGTCCGTTTTTGTGTCAGTACCATGCTGCTGAGATTACTCTAGCTGTGCAGAATGTCTTTAAACCAGGTATGTGATGCCTCTATAGCTCTGCTCCGATTGTTCAAGATTACTTTGACTAGTGGAATTCTTTCATGCTCTATATGAATTTAGGGTTGTTTTCTATAGCTCTATGAAGAATGCTATTGGTATTTTGATGAGGGATTCTAATCAATCAGTAGATTGGATTGGGTAGCATGGACAATTATTATTATTATTTTTTTTGGTCCAGTCGTGGGGCCTGAACTCTGGGCCTGGGCGCTGTCCCTCAGCTCTTTAGCTCAAGGCTAGCACTCTACCACTTGAACCACAGCGCCACTTCCGGATTTTTCTTTTTGCTTATGTGGTGCTGAGGAATCGAACCCAGGGCCTCAGGCAGGCAAGGCAAGCGCTCTACCACTGAGCCACCTTCCCAGCCCCAGACAAATATTTTTTAACAATTAACATTTAGTAATATTCTTCTAGTCTGTAAATATAGAAATGTAGCTCTTCCAACTTTTTAGTGTCTTCAATTTTTTTCTTCAGTGTTTTACAGTGTTCCTTGTAGCTATCTTCACTTCCTTAAATTTATTCATAGGTCTCTATTGTGTATTTATTCATAGTTATATATTTTTATATCCTGCTATTTCACTGAATTCATTTGTTAGTCAGAATTTTTATCATGAAGAGAATTTGAGTTTTATCATAAGATTTTTTTTCTAGATCTCTTTGAATGCTCATGTGATTTTTATCCTTTCTACTCATGATACATAATACTGACTGAAATGCTTATGTGGAATCATCTTTACATCTCTGGAATGCCTACAAAATCTGCCTCAAAAAACGATTATACAAGTTTATACAAGTAGGTGCATGAGTAGCCCTGGCCTGTAATCCTAGCTACTCAGGAGGCTGAGATCTGAGAATCACAGTTCAAAGCCAGCCCAGTCAGGAAAGTTTGTGAGACTCTTATTTCCACTAAATTACCAATTTTTTAAAAAAAATCTGGAAGTGGAGCTGTAGCTCAAGTGGTAGAGTGCTAGCCTTGAACAAAACAAGTTAAGGGGCAGCACCCATGCTGTGAGCTCAAGCCCTAGGACTGGTACCAAAGAACCAAACTAAACCACGATTATATAGTTTGGAGGTAATGTGTTTTCCATGAAGGCATATCTGGAATAAGGCACTAAGAGCACCAGTGACCAGATCTGTACCAGATCTGATTACAGAGGTAAGGCATGCTCAACGAGTATAAATACAACAGGCCAATGATATGATTGGTGACATCGGAGAGAGAACTTAAGGCTTTGTGTAGGGTTTACGTACACATATCAGCAGCTCGTCTAATGCATAGCTAATGAGATGCATCATGAGAGAGGTGTTTGTGATGACTAGTTCTGAGATTTTCATGACAGAAATATTTCATAACTAGTATCAGACAAGAACAAGGAGAAAAGTACAGACTGGTAACTCTGGCAGCAGGAGCAGAGACTGCAGCAAATGGGGATCCCCATAAGGAAGAGAGGTAACCTCCAAATCCTATGAAGCCAAGAAACCCCAAGATACATTCCAAATGGATTTATGATTTAAATGTAAAATGTCCAACTTTTCAAGGAAATAAGATTGTACGTACGATCTATGGCAGGGAAATGTTAACAATAATCAGAGAATAAATGCACTAGCAGAAGCTTTGAACAATAAAACACATTCAAGAGCAACCAAACTCTGTGCTCACAGAAAATAAGTGCATGATGTATAAAATGAGTATAGAGCCTACAGTATAGAAGAAAAAAAAAGGAAATCAAGGCAAAAAGGAGAGGAGATGGGGGGGGAGGGAGGGGAGTGCAGGCATGCCTAAAATAAAAGTGGGCACATTCACTCCAGGTGCAAAGAGGCACAAAGGAGGTGCCTAATCTCACTTCACTAACTCTACACGTTAAAGCAACAAGTGATCAGATTAGCAGAGGGAAATGCCCCCCCCCACCCCCCCGGAAGCCTCAGATCCTATTAAGAGGCAGCAGAAACTAAAGCTACTGGTTTGGAGACCCACTTAACAATACTTAGGAGGTAAACTTTGTATCTTCTATTCATTTCATTTCTTTTTTTTTTTTTTT